TTATTATAATTATGACTATGTAATCATTATGTTTTAATTATTGTTCCTATGAGCATTGCCATTATTACATTTATATGAAAATAATTTTTCTTCAGTATTAATTATCAATATAAGCTCAATATCGAATCAGCAATGTGTTTGAATGAAGAAACCATGACATGCATAAAGAACAGGAGGAAATGAAACAGAAAGGATCATGGCAATGCTGAAGAAAGAGGATGAAAACACAGAGAGTTGCAGGAAGTCTATGAATGAGATATACAAGAGTTACAGAAGAGAAAGAGATCGATAGGCTCAACAAAACAACTTGGATAGACATGGATAGACAGTCGAGGTACAAACATGATGACCCTCTTCGTTTTCGCCATGGCTTCGTATCTACGGTCGTGTAACGGCGATGGGAAACTGTTCATTTAAGGCACTATAAAACGACTTGCCTTCAAATCAGCTCGCAGACACACGCGCACACACTCACAGACGACCGTCCCACTGTCACATGGATGAACCCAACCCTCCGATCTTCTGGAACAAGTGGCGATGGATTCGTATCCGATCTTGGATTTGGATCAGATAAGGATGATAATGGAGTATGCCATGGTAAATGCTGAGCAGAATGGATTGGCAAACCCAGCACTAAATTACCCAAGGTGCACAATATCATTTGAATCCCTTTGACAAGATGTTTTTTTTTTTGGCATGCACATTGCCTGTGCTGGCCACAGCTGTGCCTCAAGTTCTGGCTCTCATACATACAGGGAAAAAACTACATTACCCATCACCCCCCTCCCTTTTCTCCGGTTCCCCCACACGTTAGCATGCACACACATGTAATTCTGTTCTGTACAAAGGGAGACCACAGGAAGTGGTGTAGCTACATAGAGGGTGACTTGTTTTGGCAGCACTCAACCATTGAAGGAAAGCCCTTATTTCGTATGAAACAGAAAGAAAATACAGCTTTGTTCCACTACGACGATACGAAACAAACAACACATGCTCAAATGCAAGTGTGTTGTGCATCTACGATGATTCACTTGTGTTGCAAACTGAAAATGGCTTTCTGTTGGGACAGAAAATGAAGATGCGAGTCAAAAACAGAAAGCAATAAAGGCATTGACACTGAGAGCAAAAGAGGGTCAGAACTAAACTGATGAACAAGCAGAGCCAAAGAATGACGCACCAGTCTTAATTATATTTGTAAACTCTTAAAGGGACAGCGCACGCAACAATGGAAATTCTTGATTTATTCATTTATTCACCCTCATTTATCTAAACCAAGATGAGTTGATTTCTTCTGTAATAAAACTTTGGAATAGTGCAATGTTTATTATAATTGATTTATCCATGCACATAATAGTGCAATGTTTATTATAAATGATTTATCCATGCACAGTTTTTTGTTCATGTGTCCTTGTAATCTTTATTCAAAAGCATAAACTTCCAACCTGTCACTAACATGAGATCGCAGCAATTAGCAAATTCCAACACTCCAATCAATTCTCGATGGATAAAAAGGCCTAACTTACATTTTTTTCAGCTCAATGTTTTATTTGTATATACATCATAATGATAAAAATAAAAAGTGATTGCAATTTTCTTTTCATGCCAAATTTAAAGTCTTCAAGCCTTCCAGTGAACTAGAGCTTTCTAATTTTTAAATGAATAATTCTGACAGGTTCTGTCAATTGGTTCAACCAATTTTAAAATATTTAGTGATATTGTATGGCTTATAAAACTTGGAATATAGTCACAGACTTTTATATGGTGCTTTTGTGTCCTTTTCAAAGCTTAAAAGCCTCAATCCTTATTAATTTTAACTGCACTGAAAAGAGCAACTAGAATAATTCTTTAACATCTCTCCTTTTCTATTCTACAGAAGAAAGAATATCATAATAGTTTAGAATGAGATGTGAGTAAATGATGACAACATTTTCCTTTTTCTGGGTGAACTGTTCCTTTAAAAACCACAACCTTCGGCTATCTCTTTTTTTATTCATACAAATCAAACCGTATTAATAATCTGTCGATCCACATCTTGAGCTAAAATGGAGCAAATTTCCTGCATTTCAAGTGTTTTCGGCAAAAGAATACAAGACCAAGAGAACTTCTAAATGGGAATTATATTAACCATGCAAAAGGTCTAACTAACCTTCATGCCTGACAAAAATAAGCCTTTCTGTCCTTTTGCTAAAGACCTGAGAAGTAGAACAATCCCTCCGATGTTCGATGCAACTCTCTGAACGAGCAGGGTGAGACAAATCAAAAAATGGCTGCCATCCACTTGAGGAAGCATTGCTAAGAGAGACAGAGCGCCGAGAAGGACACCCTGACAGAACTTGGTTGTCGTTTCCCTTCATTACTCTCAGAGTAACTGGGATCTTCCCCCATCATATAACCATGCCTCCCTGTCTTTAAAAAGCCCAGCAGACAGCGCAGACATGGGGACTTGTTAAGGCGTAGTGTGAGTCCATCACATTAAGAGAGAGATAGAGGGGAGAGGGAAGAGAGGCAGGGGAAGGGTTAGTGTGCGACATAGAACAGAAGGCACTGTGGCTCTGCAGGTTCATCTAGACCCATGGGCATCAAACCAGGGGCTAACTGGGGGCCAGCTGTGGGCCGAACATCAACAAACACCCAGAAAACAGTGGTTTTGCTCCCTAAAAGTCTTGGATATGGGTTGGCAAGGAAAAGGGATCAAATGAAATGACACTATTCATGTCTTAAAACCGTTTTCAAGAAAACAAGTAGTGTGGATTTTATATGACTTTGGGACAGAATGAAGGTAAGAAAAGGAGAAAATACAGAACCGCCCAACTGACTTCACAATTAGATGAATGCAGTGAGTTATTCTGAGATATTGTTATCTGCTTAAAGTGAGTGTTTAAGTTGAAAACCTAACGAATCCTTGTGGTTTCATATAATGACTGCTTGAGGAGAAATTAGGCAAAAAGACAGTCTCTTTTGAACTTTTTCTGATATCCCATAAAGCCAAAATCATAAATGAGATCTCTTTAACATCTCAATAGTTACTCCGAGAGATAAAATGGAGACTTTTGGAGTTTTTCTCCTGAGATAAAGATCTCACACGTGTCTCCTTTAGAGTTTCAGTGATTTGCTAACATGAAGTCTGCAATCAAAAGCCAAAGATTTCAAAGATGCTACCCACATTAATTTTACAGAAATATATTCATACCACATCTTAACAAATGTCTCATCTGTGTCTATTTTGATTTTTTCTAAGGATTTAGGAGAAACACATGAGACAAAGTTGATACTTGAGTTGATACTGAGCTCCACAAGTCTCCTGAGCTATAAAAGAGTAACCTATGCACAATAAAATTCTCCTCTGAGGGGAAAAGCCTGTTGTAATGGGATATTTCATAAACATTTGGTCTTTTCTGATGTTTTGAGATGGTCCGATGGATGGGGGTCAGCTAGACGGGTTCAGTGACAGTAAGAGAGGCTGAATAGGCCGCACCTCTACACCCCTGTGAGATATATGTTTGGCTGTATTGTTGTATCCTGAGCAGAAGGGGGGAAGGGTCTCAGATTGAGCAGGCAGCCAAAGACATAACAAGCTGCCCATGGCAGGGAACAGGAAGGCAGGGTGGAAGAATCTTTTCCAGTTACTTGATCAAAGACTACCCAGGTCAAAATTCTCAAAAAACTCCTGTCGGAAAAAAAAGTAAAAGGCAAGCTTCGACAGACCTCCTACGTCACCTGTTGGGGGACAGTTCTGCAAAATCGAAAGTTCTGCAAGCGCCCTCTGGCAACCGTATTTTCATAAGGGATTGTTTGTCCATAGTCTAGCCTGGCTTAAGCTGTGCAACAGCACCACAACATGGACAAAGAGTAAACAACAACATTCATCGCCCAAAATACTAACTTGCACTAACTCTAAATTAGCTGTGAAATAATTCAAGGGGTTTAAAACTGACCCTCAATAAAACAGTTTCTTCAGACCACACTGTTGCGTGACCATCGTTTTCTGTCGAGAAATAAATATGGAATGGACCCTGAATTTGTCTGAAAAACTCTGACACAAAAACTGCCCGAGGGTATCCTGAATGCTCTAACTCTCTCTTTTGAAACATTCATGAGCTCTGACCCGAACTATTCACTACAGATAGGAATATTCTGCTCGGCTGAGGTCACAAGTATGTAAACTTCAGGATGCTATCAGGGGCGCATCCTTATAGACTTCAGTCTGTGGTGAATAGAATGAAAATAAACGCAAAGAGTTTGAAACAAGATGGCCACAACAGACAAAACCCTCGAAAACAAGACAACAAAGTCACATGACCACCTCTATCTTCATCAGCATCACCGCCATCTTCATCAATTGCATTAAGATAGTTTTCATTATAAAACTATTGTTACTGACAATAGCAAATGAAGCCCTCAGAAAGGAGAATGTCTCTCACCCCGTTTCTCTCTCTGTTCGCAGCCAGGGCCGACAGAGCCGTAATGAGGGAGGTTTCACCCTTCAGGCTCGTTTTTAGTGCAATCCAAAGTAATAATAAACAGTGCAGAACATCATCTGGGATCCTCAGATGGATATAACATAGAAAACACCACCTATAAACTCCATCTGCACATAAAGATCTGTAGACATGGCAAGAGCAACAGGGAGAAAACGAGAGAAAGAACTTCCAACTGAACGGAAAAAAAGAGAGTTATCACCCCCCCTACCCACAGTAAATCTTCTGTCTGTTAAATGTATTTATATATATT